AGTCACCTTGAGGAACCCGGGCTAATAACACGCTGTGTATTTGAGAACCAGAAATATCCAGCTGTTTACTCAGTGTTGCAGATGCTGCTGTGAGTCACTCAGCTCCCGCGTGAGTTAATGAGACACCCAGCTCCCTGCAGGGCTGACCGATAATCTTTATGAACATTTAAGGCACATATAGGGCCTGACTGGGCTGTATGGCTATGTACCAACCGGTGTTGCAACACTGCAGCAAAACTCGGTGCAAGACCATACAGGAGGGTCCCAAATCAAATTTCACTGCTCACTGTCTCATTCCTGCACACTAACAAGTACCATTCATCCAGGTGGTTTGGCCAAGATACCTTGTAAAGACAGACAGGAAAAGGGGTACTGACTACCGAGTCCTCATCACATCTTCTGGGTTCAAGAGCTGGTGATGAGCTCTATGTACCTTTTAGCAGCTGACAGTGCCTGTGACCTTTTGTCTCTCCATCCTGTCCTACCTCGGCAAGTCATCAGGACTTACTCAGCCTTTCGTGTCCTTATCTGGGTGGCCTATGGCCGCAGTCCTGTTCTTCATCTTCCCACCATCATTTCCCAGAGCCTCCAGCCTGTAATCTTCAGTCTAGTCTGGGTGTAGCCTGCCCTTGGCTTTAGGCTGTCCCCTGGTTTAGGCTGTCCTCTGCTTCCCAAATTGGCTGTCCTGAGAAGTTTCGTGTCAGCATGCCTGGACTTTGATGACCTTCTACTGGAGGTGCCTCCAGCACCCTCCCCCTGACACCCCTTCTCTCGTTCCTTCCTTCTCCTGCTCCCACGTCCAGACCTTTCCCTTCACGCTCCATTTGTACCAGCCTGATGGTTTCCACTACTGATCACTACAGCTCAAACTAGGCCAGGACACTGGTGCAAGCACTGGCCTTGCCATTTAAGTTAATAGCCAGATCTCTGGCGTGGTTTTGTTCCATGTCACTAGAGTTGTCCAGGAGAACGTTTGGGCCCAGTTTGGACCACAGGTCACAATGGGGACTGTTCCCAAGGAAAGTTTTGGCATGTGGGCATGAGCTGCATGGTGTTTCCTGACCTAGACTTTCTGCTTCACCTTCAACTCTTCAGTTACTGTCTAACTGGACAGTTTTCTCTGCTTTAGCATAGTTTTCAGAAGAGGCAATCTGAAGAGGTTGTACACTCGCTTTCCAACGCCTGCCTGGATGAAGCCCTGAGCAACCCGGTCTGACCTCAGGACTGACCCTGCTTTGAGCAGATCCTAACTAGAGACTTCCTGAACTCCCCTCCAGCATGAATAATCTGTTGAGCTATGGAAATATTTGCAAGGATGCTTCAGATGTGAAGTGAACGATGATGCCCCATGCAGCTGTGGAGAGGGATGTGCAAAGGGATACACCCATCCAGCTCCTTCGGATTCTCTGGACATGACTTTGCCTGGCTGCCTTCCCTTATGGTCCCAAAGTCTGGCACATGCTTAGTTGTCCCAGCTGACAGTGCTACTGAAGGGACATGGACCAAGAGAGGAGCCCAGCTACCATTTGAGCTCTGAGGAAGCCCATAAATTCATACCTCGGGAGGAAAGTCAAGCTGCAGACCACAGCAGCCTGGTGATAGGGGCATAATGTCCCCCTAATGTGTTTGAACAGCTTTTGGGAAATCCATGTAGCTTCAGGCCACAGTGATATAACACCAATGATTTCAGACTTCGGTCACTTGTTTGGAAGCAGATCCAGTCCCTGTGGATCACAGGTTAGGTATGAAATGGGAGGTATTTATTTCCAGGTGTTTGGTTTCTGTATCTCCATGACTTTTCATTTCTGAGGCCTTTGCCTGCCTGCTGAGACTTGTTTTACTCTGAGCAAGTTGCAGATGGCCATGGAGGAGGCATTTCTCCTGGTCTTCCCTATCTTCTTCCTGGTCTCTTCTCTTGCTCTTGGTGAGCCTTTCAGAAACATCAACAAAGTCCTTGAGACATGATGAGATTTATAATTTTCTATGTGTCACATTTTGAGAAAATGTCCCTTTCTTGCTAACCTTGCACATAACGAAAACCTCAGAAACCCAGCATTTAACAACGTAAATTACAAAGTCAAGCCCTAAAAAGTGAGGAAGAAAGTGTTTGATCTATCTCAGCTCAGCATAAATGCTCAATATGAGTCATGCCTCAATGCACTGCTGAAAGGCATTGCCAGTGGCAGAACTATGCTCTCGTAAACCTGGTAGAACAGAGTACAAGGAAAAAAAGTATTTCTAATATTTGTTATTTTCCCATTTTGGCCAATTCATTACATACCTGAATATCCATGGCTGATGCTAATGTAGCCTTCACGCTCTCCGACAGCGAGAAATCTCCTTGTTGAACAGTCCTATGAATGATGTCATTGCTATTAACCACGGCAACAAGTCGAATTGGGAGACCCATTTTCTGGGCAATACAGCCAGCTAAAAAAAGTGAAAAAATACATGCACGCAATACAGCCAGCTAAAAAAAGTGAAAAAAATGTATGCATGCTTGAGGAAGAAACATTCAAAGGAGGTTTAGCAACGAAGTCATTGTACAAAATGGTTGGACATGTAGTTCAGAAGCAGACACAAATGACATTCTCTAATGGACTCTGAGAAATCTGTCTTTAATGTTTTGGTAGAGCACCAGATTATAAAATCCAGGGATGCAGTGCTCCATCTGCCATCCACACTGACCCTCGGGCATCTCCGTATTTAAAGATGGATGGGCGGGGGACTGAGAGGTCAGATTGCTGCCGTTCAAGCAAGAGAGATGGAGCTTTTGGACTCTTGCAGCTTGTTAATGATGCCTCAGATGGGCAGCCTGGAAATACAGTGAATGCAGTCGAGTCTGTTGAATCCTTTATTGCTTCCATGAGACAGTTGTATGCCTATTATGGGATGGAGGCAATCAAGAACTCACTTTTTAGAAGGCCAGATTACACAATTGAGAGTGGTTCTCTTGACTGCACACTACCATGCAAACAAGAATAGGACCAGGCAGCATTCCACACCTCTGTTAATGTCTCAGTTAGAAAATCAGAGCCATGGTATTTTCCCTCTTTTCTGGATCAAACACATTCTGTCCTCTTCTAATGTGCCCATCCTCAAGATAGCTACAGTCATCATCAAGGAGTGGTTTGGGATTTTCTGCACCTTGAATCAGTGACACCTAAATGAGTAATAACCACACATGAGTAATAAAATATAAGTGGTTCTGAAGAAATCCTACCAGAGAGTGGGTGTTTTAATAAATAGTAATACCCAGCATCTGCAAAGTGTTTTTAGTCCATAGGTCACAGCACTCTCTCTCTTCCATATCTAACCTATCTTTTTTTCCCTTCACCTGTGATATTTCCTCCTCCTCCTGTTGGCACAACAATTTCCACCACTGGCAGCGGAGTGGTATCCAGGGACGGGGCACACTGAAAGTAAGCATAGAAGTGGTGAGCGATCTGCACCATAATCCTAGACCAATTGACCGAATTCAAGCTCATCAGATTGTATTTTCTGGCAAAATCCACATCAGCGAACAGTTCCTTGATGGGCTCATCGATTTCATCACTGTTCCCATGAGCTGTCAAAAGGAGAAAGGAAAGATTAGATCTGCCAACATCAGCGCATCAGGCACAAGGTATTTCTGCTTGGAAATCGGGTCAGTCTCAAGCCCTGGGGTTTGCTGGAGCCAGGGGTGTCCTGAGCTGCCCGTCTGCCTCGGGGGCTGTACGAGCCAGGGGCTGGGTAGCACCACATGGATTCCAGCTGGTTTCTGCAGCCGTTGCACTCTGTGCTCTTGTTTACACCAGGTATATATCTGCCAGGAAGGCAAATGCCTGTATCCCCTGTGAGATGCCAAGGTGAGACCTGGCTAAGCAGAGGAGTCCATGGAACAGCTCAAGGCACCCCGTGGTGATCCCCACCATGGGGACGGCACAGAGGTAGGGGATGGACCACTCAGGAAGGTGAAGAGACAGAGGGAAGGTGTCATTCTTGGTGCTTTCAGTGCCAAGAAATGGTGCTGAATTCAGTGCAGATGAACACCAATGCTCTTGTTTACACCAGGTATATATCTGCCAGGAAGGCAAATGCCTGTATCCCCTGTGAGATGCCAAGGTGAGACCTGGCTAAGCAGAGGAGTCCATGGAACAGCTCAAGGCACCCCGTGGTGATCCCCACCATGGGGACGGCACAGAGGTAGGGGATGGACCACTCAGGAAGGTGAAGAGACAGAGGGAAGGTGTCATTCTTGGTGCTTTCAGTGCCAAGAAATGGTGCTGAATTCAGTGCAGATGAACACCAACCACCTGCACAGATGCAGCTCTCTTCTGCGGCCAGGTGAAAAGGGAGCCTTGAACCACTTTTCATCAAAGTGGGGTCACCTGCTGTATGCTCCTGTTAGCCAGACACCTGGGCATGGTGGCCATGATGGCAAAGACCCAGCTGGCTGCAGCTGCTAAAGCAGCAGCCACCTGAGACTTGTGGGGTCATTGTTTTGACATGGCAGGGTCATAAAGCAGACAGTCCAACAGTAATGCCAACCAGCAAAGACATGGACGTTGTCTTCAATGACGGTGGTCATCTGAAGTTCCTGTATCTGGGTGCAGAACCCTTTGGGCAGCAGAACAAAGATGTCCATGTTCTTCTGCCCTCTCACACTCTCGATGGCGGAGCTCCCCGTGTCTCCTGAAGTCCCTGTTTCAAAGTAAGGAAGAACCGAGAAAAGCAAAAAAATTGATGTGCCAGTCAAACCTGCATCACTGCACTTTAAGAAAAAAATATAGAAATTTTCCACGAGATACTTTTGGCTAGGGCAGCCACACTGGCATTGCCTGGAGATCACTCACCAGCCAGCCATGAGGCAACACTACCCCAGCACATCTATGGGGAGGGCCGTGGGATGATGGCCCTCAAGGTAAAATCCTGCCCAGAAGTTTTACCTCCCAGAAAGAGGCATACTCACCCACCACAATAGTGACATGCTTCTGCTTTTTCTCCAAGAAATACTGTAAAAACTGCCCTGTGCAGGACAAGGACAGATCCTTAAACGCATAAGTAGCCCCGTGCCACAGCTCCAAAACATTCAGCCCATCTTTCAGCCGGGACAAGTGGATGATGTCCTTGTGTCTGAACCTGCTGAAGGCCCTGTCGATCAGGTCTAGAGGGAAAATGGTTAAAGGGGCTGTTAGATTGGGTGAATGAGTATTTTTCTGCCCTATGGCTTCCTGCATCTGTGCTGTTCGTGCTCCTGGAAAGCTTTCTGCACAACCAAAGACTCTCAGTTGCTAGAGAGGTGACAAATATCTAACAAGTTATTCTTAGTTGGGAATAAACCAGCCCACTTTATTGTCTTTGATAGCTCTACGGTGAGAGACCCCAGGGGACACCTGACACTACCAGAGCAAAGTGTCTTAAAATACAAAATACAGGAAACTCAAATTTTATCGTAACACACTGTTAAGAAAGAGGTTGTAGCTGCCCTCTGGTGGAAGTGATAGCTGTTAAATGTTAAAAACATTAAAAATCAGATCTCAATGAGAGCGTGCAACAGCAGAAAGTAGCTGTTAAATGTTAAAAACATTAAAAATCGGATCTCAATGAGAGTGTGCAACAGCATAAACCCTAGTGGGAGGTCAGGTCTGGAGCAGTGAGCAGGACCACAGCATCAGCCATCACTATTGCAGTCACCACAATCCTTATTTGCACGCAGGGGACATCTTTTCCAGAAGGTAACAAGCCCCAGCAAGGTGACAGAGGAGAAGAGGGTACAGAAAAGAGAAGGCAATGGTGCAACAGGCTCTATACTCTAGGGCCTGTGGAAAGGATGGGGCAAAGGCAGGCAGATGCATCTGGCCACCCCAAAATCCTGCATATTGAGGCTCACCCTGTGAGCATCTCCCTGCATGGTTGAGGCTCACCGTTGAGGGTGCTCCGTGGGACCAGCTCGGCCGTGATGAAGAGGGAGCACAGCTCCTTCACCAGCTCCCGGTAGGAGAGGCAGCTCCACTTTCGAAGGGTGTCCCCGTCCAGCGAGGGGATGTGCTGGGGCATGAAGAGGCCCCCGTCGGGTGCGTAGCCGGAGAAGAGGGCCTCCTCAAAACCGACAGCCCCGGTGCCTCCCCGTGTGCTGACATACTCCATGGGTCCTGGGGAGGCACCACAGTCACTGCCAGGGCCCCGAGCATTCCTCCCCCCGGGAACAGCCCTGCATCTCAAGCTGACCCCCCAGAAAAAGTTCCCGTGTGGACAGACAAAGCTCCTCAGGGAAGAAAACACCTCTTCCCCTAAAAAAATCTCATACAGTGGAGAGCTAGAGTGGACAGAGCCAGAGCAGGGCACGGGGCATGTTGCAGGCAGTGGAAAGGCGGCCCGAGATTTGCACAGAGGTGGCTGGAGCCTCCTCCTCCTCCCGCTGTCCCTGTGCCTTTCCCACCCCGTCCCAGGGACACTTCCCAGCCTGAGCAAGAGCCCTGACAGCGCAGAAGTCACTGCACCAGAGCGTTACGTCCCCTGCAGGGTGTTGGCAAAATTTAGTTTTAAATTGGAGTTTTAAAATTTAAAAAAAAAAAAAAACAAACAACAAACAAAAATCCAGGAAAAGTAAATAAATACGTTTTTAGAGCAGGCAGATTTCGTTCAAAGGGGTTAAACCGAAGGCAGGATTTAACTCGGCGCAGGAAGGGCTGAGCTAAATCCGCCGGATCCACGCAAACCCCACCGAGCAGCCGCGGGCGCTGCCGGGAGAGGCCCCCTCTTGCCCCCATCCCGGGAACCCCCGCGGCCCTTCCCACCTGGGGCACTCTGGCCAGCGGTGCAGCCCCTCGGCACGGCTCGGCACGGCTCGGCACGGCTGCAGGCCGCTTGACCCCACGCAGAGGCAGGAAAAATGGCCGGGCAACTCGTGGCCGCCACCGCTGCCGCTTGCAACCCGGCCACCCTTTGCACTTGTGCTCACGGAAAACTTCTCCCCGTCGCAACTCGCCAAGGTTCCCCTCGCCGCGGCGCAGCCAGACGACGTGGCTGCCCTGCACCGAGCCCGGGAGTGGGAATAGGGGGGAAAGATGGAGTCGAGATGTTCCTGGTGGGGCCGGGCAACAGGGCAAGGGGCAGCAGGCACGAGCTGCAGCTGGGAAGAAATCTAGTTAAATATTAGGAGATAGCTTTTGACCGTGAGAGTGAGCAAGCATGGGGTATGGAGAGCTTCTTGTCTCCAGTATAACCCCAGGGAAATAAAAAATTTGGCTGGGGACACACCGAGCCGCCTGATTTCACTCTGAGGTGGGATTTAAATTTGAGATTGAACCTGCTTAAAGCAGGGTTTGGGTCAGAAACCTCCAGAGGTCCCTCCCAACCAAAATCAGTCCATAATTCAGCTGCACAAAGCCAAGTGTTCAGCCTGTGAGGCTGGGTCATGGTAACAGCCCCGTCCCACCGGTGGGGAAACTGAGGCACGGGAGGGAGAGGGGATGTGTGCTGGGGTGTGCAGAAAACCTCAGTTCTCATCTGCAGGGAGAGGTTGTATGTCCGTTTTCTTACTTTTTAGTTTAATAAATAATAAGTGCTTTTTGAGGGGCAAGGTCAGCACGGGACTGGTGGCAGCGTGGACCCGGGGTGCAGTGCAGCGTGTGCTGCTGGAGCGTGCGGGGGGACTTCAGCCCAGGAAGGCAAGGTGCAGAGGTACAAAGGATGGCTGATAACAGCCAGCCGTGAGTCAGCAGCTTGTGTCCACAGTAAGGGACACATCACCTGCCAAAGCATCGGAGTCCAAAACGGCACGCGTTGCCTCTAGCTCTGATGGGTAACTGAAATCAAGAGAAAAGTCTCCAGAAAAGAGTGGTCCAGTCCTTGCCTTGAGCACCGAAGTGGAAACAGGCTTTTCTACACCCAGCATCTAAAAAGGACTGTTTCTGCAAGCTCCTCAACAGGAGGCAGAAGCTAAATTTCAGGCTCTGGGCAAAGTTGCCCGTGATGGTGTTGCTCAGGGTGGAACAGGGCAGCTGTAGCAGAGCAGGAAGCAAACAGCAGCTTTTTAATAATATACCTGAGCTTGCCCAATGGGCCAGAACAATGTTAATAGTCTCCATTTTCTGACTATGTCTAGGAAATCAGCTAGATAGGGAGCTACTTATCTATACTTATTTAAATTATATCACCCAACCGGACCACATCTTCCCACCATAGGGAGATCTCTGTGCCCAACATTTCCCATCACGTTTGTAAAGATGAAGCCTGAGCCACCCAAATCTGCTGTGGCCCCAGGGTCCTCCCTGTACCTGCAACCACTGGGTTCTTTTGGCACATTGATGTGTAGTGGGGTGCTGACCCTCTCACAGGGAAAGGAAAAACCAGGCAGGAGGGCAGGACCTAGCTCTTCAGGGATGATTTGGGTTTAAATTGGTGGCAAAACCTCCCCGAGGCCATCCTGGAGTCACCAAAGGCCTCCAGGGTCACCTGGCCAGCTGAGGCGAGTGGCCAATGTCCCCGAAATGGACCCCCAGCTCCAAGACATCAGCCACTCGCCTCAGCTGGCCCCAATATGCAGGGCTAATCCTACCTTGGCAAAGTGATGTAGAGATATGGTGTTCTCGGGCCCATATTATTTTTAACGCCCTGTGTATTTGTGGAAGGTGAAAGGTCCTTTAATATCCTGTCAGGTTAGCTATTAGTCCCTTCCTCATTTACCACCTCTGAAAGGGTTTTTTGCCCATTGTAATCCAGTCGTAGCTGACCCAAAAAATTTTAAGTAGCACCTCTACCCTAACCTCTCCCATGACAACATGCTGAAGTGAATTTGGGATTTTCCTTCTTTGCAGCAGAGGCCCAGCACGCTTTGAGCGTAGCTCTGATTTAGACTAGAACGAGGAAAAGATAAAATCCCTAGGAAAAGCTGCACAAGCTGATAATTTTTATTACCAATATAATAATTTCGTAACACCAATGTGCATCTGAGCATCTCCGCAAAGGTCACCTAGCACACCCCAAGGGGACCTCACCTACTCCCACCACCATGGGACTCCATGCCTCTGGGCATTTCCTCACTGTACATCTAATACTTTTAATGTGTGCACTAACTGTGTGACATAACTTCACTGATTCATCTCAATTTTTCGCGTTTTGCTCAAGTGAAGAGCTTACAATGGCATTGACTATCCCTTCAGCATTACATCCCCTCAGGGTGCATGCAGGAACCCCACAAAAAAAAAAGGGTGATCCCAGGATACTTGCTGCTCTGCACCCAAAGACAGAAATAGCATCAGGGCTGTTGCCCCAGCTTTATCTGTGCCTGGGGTCTATCAGCACTGATAGCCCTCTCTGATGAGATCGTGGGTCAATGCTGTGATGGCAGGTGTTGCTTATGTGGCAGCCACAGGTGAACACACTCCAGGACGACGGTGGCATTTATTGGGAGGGCTTTTTCCATGCTTGGCCCTGCAAGCTCCACACGTTCAAGTTTAAAGCGCCGTTTCTTTCATAGCAATTTGAATTTTAAAAGAAAGGAGAGGAAGAGCGTGACTGTGCTGCTGTGCATCAGCCAACTGGGGCTGATCCACTGCAGCAACAGACCAAGAGCTGGAAAATATAGCAGCTTTTAATGAACCTGCTCTTGCCTGGTGCCTCCATATTCCTGCTGGGATTTGCATTTCCACTCTGGACCTTGTCCATTCTGAGCAGTTCATGCTCTTTGGACTCATCTGTCAGAAACCAGCTGTGCTTGCAAACCCCACCTAAGGCTGCTGTCAGACCTTTCCTACTTCTTTTCATGCTGCACCAGCTTTCATCCCTCAGCCTCAGAATTTCCTCAGCCTCTCCACCCAGAAAATATAGCAGCTTTTAATGAACCTGCTCTTGCCTGGTGCCTCCATATTCCTGCTGGGATTTGCATTTCCACTCTGGACCTTGTCCATTCTGAGCAGTTCATGCTCTTTGGACTCATCTGTCAGAAACCAGCTGTGCTTGCAAACCCCACCTAAGGCTGCTGTCAGACCTTTCCTACTTCTTTTCATGCTGCACCAGCTTTCATCCCTCAGCCTCAGAATTTCCTCAGCCTCTCCACCCATGCCAAAGGCATCCCAAAGCACGGTGAGGACCCAGGAAGCAGAAAGGCACATACAGCAGCAAGAAGCCAACTTTTTTCCTATGCCAGTCCCCCAAAATTTCAGGTCTCACCCCAGAGCATTGCAGCACCTGAAAAGAGCACTGCAACGCTCTCAGCTTCGTGTTTGCCAAGCAGCTTTCTATGGTCTCCACCAACGGGCCCCTCTATATGTCCCAAGCACAAACAAAGTGGTGGGTTTGGGTCCCCTTTCTATACCACCAGCAGAACATCCTCAGGACCAAAGACCATCCACAGTGTGTGCCAGAGCCACCAGAGCCTCCCCGTGTCACTAGATGGCGGCAATGCCTTGCATCCAGGGAGGAGATGCAGGAAGGCAGCCTCTGGAGAGCTTTGCTCTGCTTGCACCCAGCCTTTCCCACCGCCGAACCACAGTGTGTGCCAGAGCCACCAGAGCCTCCCCGTGTCACTAGATGGCGGCAATGCCTTGCATCCAGGGAGGAGATGCAGGAAGGCAGCCTCTGGAGAGCTTTGCTCTGCTTGCACCCAGCCTTTCCCACCGCCGCACAGGTCCCTCTTGCCTTTCAGGCCACGGACACCCAGACCTCCCACTGAGATTTCAAGCAACAGCCAGGAAACACCTCTCAAAAAAGTCCCATTTTGGGGTGGAGGAAGAGGAGGCAGAGGCAATGTCCTGCAGCAGGATGCCAGGCTACAAAGACGGGTGGCCTGAGCCCATGCAAGGGCTCATTGAGGCAGGAAAGAGGTTGTTTGTTAGGAGAGACATGCTCACCCCATCTTCTCCCTGAGATCCACCCTGGTGTTTTATCACCCTCCTTCCAGCCTCCTCCCATAGGGGTTTTTGCAGCCTATGCCCAGGGAGAGACTGGGAAAGGAGCACATGGAAAGACCCCAACTATGATCATAAACAGGACCAGAACGCACCAAATTTAATTTAAAAAAAAAAAAAATCACAGAAGCCCGGAAAGCACAAAAATCTGCTGTTTGTCTCCCAGGTCACTGCCCATGAGCTGGCTGGTGTCTTCTAATTGTACCCAAACAAAAGTTTTCAGACCTGTAAGTGACCCAAGCAACGCCAGGCAGGTCCAGGAATTGGGTGATAAAGATGTCTGGGGTTTTGCAATGCCACTTACTGCCCTGTACAGAATGCATCCCAAAGGGGACCATGTTATGGCGTCTGAGAAAAAATATATAAGCTTGTCACTGAGGGTGTGTGAAGGAGTTACGTGTCCCGCTACCCTCTGATGCACAGAAGCATAAACTTTCACAGGAAAACAGGACAGTTCCAGCTAAAAACTGTAAAGTTTTGGGCCAGAAATCAAACTATTTTAGTTCTGCCTTTCTCAGAGGCAGACCCACAGCAGGCTCAGGGATCCATAGCAGGAAGAGGGCTAGGAAGTTTTCAGAGAGTGTCTGCAGCTGCACAGGGAGGCGCACACCCATAATAATTTGTTTGAGAATCGTATCAAGGAGATATAAGGCCGATATATACAACTTTAAATGAATAAAAGTGCATGAACCTGCCTCTTTCCTATGGCAAATGTGGCTCGTCTTCCTTCTGTCTAAATCTGATATAAATCGCAGGTATCTCAGCTGACATGAGGTGGGACTTCCACATGGATCAACACCTCTTCTCACCTACAAATGTGCATGCACATACTTTTTGACCTCTACCTCTGGTGATTTTGCAGAGCAAGGAGCTGCCAGCACAACGGCCCTTTCCCCACAGCTGGGTGCGACGCCCTTTCCTCACCGCGAGGTGTTTCACAACAGGTTCAAGGACATCTGTATTGTGGTTTGGGTCTTGTAGACCAAAGTGCAGGACCCACTCGTAAAAGCAGAGCAGAAAGGGAGCACGAGGATGGGGTTGTGCAATGCTGGCTCCCGCAGTGGGACGTTGAAGATGCTGTCA